TTACTCAAGTAAAGTACAGATACCCAAATATTGTACTTAAGTATAGTAACAAAGTATTTGTACTTAGTTACTTTACAACTCTGGACATATGACGCGAAAATGAGTTATTTTTCAGAATCAGTTGCAACAGTTCATCTTGATATGTAAGATTTAGCTCAGAGTTAAATGAAAAGGAAGGATTTGGAACCTCTGCAGCTCTTCCAGCTGTTTGGGACTTCCGGGTCAGGTGACTTCCGGGTCAGCTGACCGAAGCGCCGCTGCGCTGCTAGCATCCATCCACAATGACTGGCGCGTCTCAGCGGCTGGCACAGCTCGTCAGATGAGCTGTGGTACTCTGTAAAAACACAACAGACACACAGACATTTCCGGACTGACTGCCGAGGCTGTGTGGAGGAGTTTATCCGCGTCGAGCCGCCGACAAGCAGACAAACAGGTAGCTGTTAGCTTAATTAGCTTAGCATAATTTAGCCTAGCTGGATGAGAGAGGAGGCTGATTTATTTGATATAATTATGCAGGAATGACATGTACGCGACTTGTTTCTTGGATTTTCTCTGTTTTTGTTGTAATTTAATGATTATAAACAGTGACTTTCATGCAGTTATTAGCTGGATTAGCTGCAGATTTAATGGCTGAAAATTAATTGTTCATTATTCAGATGTCAGCTCCTTTATTTTATCTTCTTTCAATACTTAAAGCTTGACATTTTGTAATGTGAGGAATGCTTTAATAATAAGTCACAGCTTAGATATAAATTCAGTTTTGATTGAATGGTTTTTACCTTTAAAACTGCTGTCCTAAAACAGATGTTTTTATAGACTTTGTCCCACAGGTCAGCCTGGTTCTCCTCATCTTCTCTGTTTTACTGCTTCAGGTCTGTCCTCTCCTGTCCTCTGTCGGCTGCTGAAAGGCCCTGTTGTTTTTCAAACAAAGTGCCAGAAAGGACAGAAAGACACGGTGTCAGACTGAATCGGATTCAATGGTACCAGTCGTCCTGATGGAGTGATGTAGTGTGAATGTGCATCTTATGGAAAACAGGTTTTAGCTCAGTGTCACTGAGGCATGTATTGAAATGTGTGTTTGTTTGATCAAACACAAAACACTCAGACTCAATGATGTGTTTTTGGAAGAATACTGTGTGTTTTCCAGCTCTACACTAATATTAAATCTGACAGCAGATTACAAAATAAAACCAGAATCATGTGATGATCTGAAGTCTGAGGGAAGTTATTATGTTTGTTCAGGTGAAATCAGCTCATGTTTTCTTCCTGCAGTTCACAGCAGAACCAGTGGGACKATTTTACCTTGTTTTCTGTTTTTGTTCATAACTTTAGTGTTTAAGATATCGCTATGAAATTTTAGGAAAAGATTCACATTCTGGTTTTGTAGGAAGCATCTTGTATCCTAAAAAACTAATAAAACTTAATAATAGCCAATTCAAAATTAGCAGAAAAGGTATAAAATAACATTACAAGGCAAACTGCAGCATCAAATCAACTTAATGTGTCTTAGAAAGTAAGGAAATTAAAACAATTTAAAAACCATGTGGACATTTTGTAAACAAAGCTCCTCAACCAATGACAGCGTGTTAAATGTGTCATGTGATGAAGACGAGCATCAAAACACTTTGCAACAAGAGCTGTTCTGGATTAAAAAACACACTTCCATGTTTCAAATCATTATCAAACTATGAACAAGGGCAGATAAAATAATGTTTTCATTGCAGCTTATCTATTTAAGGTTCACTAGAAAAACACATGATTTACTTTGATCCTCTTTTCAAAAATTGTCTCTTCAATACGGAGCCCGCAAGGGGACACGCGAGATTATTTTTCTTTTGCGTTCCCTCGCAATATTTTTTGCGTTCCCTCGCAAAAGTCTTTTATCACTGTTGTGCTGCCTGTTTCTTAACAAACTCACCTGTTCACCATTAGTGAGTTAACTTACTGCTTTAATTCAGCTTCAGAATGAATATATCACACAGACACACATGGAAGTATGTCATATGATGATATTTTAACACACAGCAGCCACACAACATCAATGTCAATTTGACAAACTTGTGGCGACACATCCTGTTTTGGTAACCGGATATTTCAAAATAAAAGTCTGATTTAATTCAGATCATATTCAAAACAAACTTTTGCGTGGGAACGCAAAACAATATTGCGAGGAAACGCAAAACAGTATTGCTAGGTAACGCAAAACTATTGCGAGATAATGTAAAACTATTGCGAGGGAACGCAAAACAATATTGCGAGGGAACGCAAAACAATATTGCAAGGAAACGCAAAACAATATTGCTAGGTAACGCAAAACAATATTGCGAGGTAACGCAAAACTATTGCGAGGGAACGCAAAACAATATTGCAAGGGAACGCAAAACAATATTGTGAGGGAACGCAAAACAATATTGCGAGGAAAAGCAAAACAATATTGCGAGGAAACGCAAAACTATTGCGAGGTAACGCAAAACAATATTGCGAGGTAACGCAAAACAATATTGCGAGGGAACGCAAAACAACATTGCGAGGGAACGCAAAACAACATTGCGAGTCAGCGCAAAACAATATTGCGAGTCAGCGCAAAACAATATTGCGAGTCAGCGCAAAACAATATTGCGAGTCAACGCAAAACAATATTGCGAGTCAACGCAAAACAATATTGCAAGGGAACACAAAAGGAAAAAAAATCTCCCATGTCCCCTCGCGGGCTCCGTACTTCAAATCATATCAACAAAAATAAAAAAGTGGAAGACGAGGCTGTAGCTAACTACCTGATGTCAGCGCAGTTTGTTGAAACGTAGAAATAATGAAGCAGGAGGAACTAAAAAGCAAACACAGAGCAGCCTGGTACAGTCTGGTCACAGCAGTTTGAGAAGAAAATGTCAGCAGCTGCTGACGACATGTCAACATCCCTACAAAGAGACACCCAACATAGCGACATTTCCTTTTGTTTCAACTAAACCTCAGTGTTTGCTCTGTTACTATAAATTAAAACTAATTAACAAGCTTATGTTATTTAGAAAGTTCTGCTTACATTT